GTGTCCTTCTGGATGCCAACTGACGACGAGTGAGAGAATCAAGAAAGAAAGATAAAGGGAGAAAGATAAAGGGGGAGAGGAGACATAGGCATGTAGATAGCGAGTAAATGTGGAGGGGTAGATGAGTTTTGTAGTAAAAGGAAACGAAAAAGGTGTAGTAGATGCGGATAGGAAACCATCCCGCCATATCCCTGTGGATTAGGCATTAAGCATTATCGAACGAACGAATGCCCACCGACATATCGTTCATCGTCCATCGTTCTTGTCATCGCTCACCGCCTCGTCACATTGGGCATCCCGCTCAATGCTTTTCGTCCGAAATAATACTCCCAATGCTCAGCGGGTTTTTCTTCCCCGCTCCCCCGTCCCTATCTCTCCCGCCACCTCGTCCGGCGCTGCTGCTCCGCAGCTGAATGACAGCATGCCCGCCAGCGGAGGTCGGACTCCTCCCTGACCCACCATCATTGCCGTCGTCCTCCCTCGGGCGCGACTGCAGCGGCGCCAGCTCAATGCGCGCATTCGGGCTATGCAGCGCGCCGACCTGCCCCTGCGGCGCCTGCACCACGTTTCCATTCCCGCCATGGTTAGCACTCGTTTGCGGGTTCGCACCGACACCGACACCAACGTTGCTCGGCACCATCACCGGTGCCTGCTGCTGCTGCTGCTGCACCTGCTGCGGCACGGGCGGGTACTCGCCCCAGACCTGCTGTTGCTGCTGCTGCTGTTGTGGGTGCGGCGGCGGCGGCGCGCCAAACCCACTCGGCGGCGTCCCCCACGCGTGCGCCTCGTGCTGTGGCTGCTGCTGCGGCGGTGGCACGGGCTGCGAGTACCCGTAATACGGCGGGGGCGGGGGCGGCTGCGCGTAGGGACGGTACGCCGGGTACGGCGGCCCCCGCGGCGCGTGCGCGTTGGGGTTCGGGTTCGGTGGCATGGGCCCCATGTTGGGGTTGGGCGGCACCATGCTCGGGGGCACCATCCCGCCGCTGGGCGGCACCATCCCTGGATTCGCCGGCGCAACCATCCCCGGCGTCCCGCCATTCGGCGGCGTCCCAGTCCCGTTGCCATTCCCGCCCAGCTGCTGCTGCTGCTGGGGCGGCGGCGGCCCATACCCCTGCCCCTGCCCCTGCCCGCCCTGCGGCACACCCTGCGGCACACCCTGCCCCTGCTGCTGCTGCTGCCCATACTCCCCGTACTGCGGCTGCGGCTGCGGCTGCTCATAATACGGCGGCCCATAGCCCGGATGCGGCGCAGGCGGATACGCATAGTTCAAATCATACCGCGGCCCCCACTGCGGGGGCGGCGGCGGCGCATGGTGGTGGTGCGCGTACGGGTCGCTGTAGCCGTACGGGCCCGGTGGTGGGTACGCGTAGGCGTACGGGTGCTGGTACTGCGGGGGGTAGGCGTGGCCGTGCGCGTGCGGCGCGTGGTGCGGCGGAGGTGGGGGCGGGGGCGGCATCGCGTCGGCGCGGTAGCCTGGTGGCGGCGGGGGCGGGATGTGCTGCTGCTGTTGCTGCGGATGTTGCTGCGGGTGCTGCTGGCCGGGATGTTGCTGCTGCTGCTGCTGTGGGTGCGGCGGCGCGTGTCCGTGCGCATGCGCGTTTGGATCATACGGCGACGGCGCATATGGGCCTCCGCGATCGTACCCCATATCCGGAGCAGGAGGCGGAACTACCTGCTGCTGCTGGCTCTGCATTGGGACCTAAGTACGCGCAGAGGAGTCAGCGCCACAGTGGATTATTTGGCAATAAAAAACTCACCGTTCCTCCGCCCTCGATCGCCGCGCCGGGCGGTGGTGGAATGAGCGGCGTCGACGGCCAGGGCGTGCCAACCTATATATTTCGTCGTCAGCATTCTGATACAGTCTAGAGAATATGAGAGAAAAGGAGGCGGAGCGCAGGACATGTGGGGAGGAACTGCAAGCATCCTGTAGTGCGGAGTAGTAAAGCTTGCGTCGCCATGATTGGCCCTAGCCCGACATCGCACGCTTGCGCCCTTCGGACGCGTTTTCGCTCCTCGCGCTCCCTCTCCTCCCTCCGCGAGCGACCCCGTCCCATACGCGGTCGAACATCTCCGACCAATCCTACCGCGTGGGTCGACTGGGAATACAGCCTCCCTTCCCTCCGGGGGCTCGAAGGGAAAAGTTGCGGACACCCCGCGTCCCGCAGGCGACGACGTATATCCCCACATCGAACCGCCTTCCCCTCCCATCTCGCACCCAAAAAAAAAGACAAGACAAAAGAGAGCTCACTCACCGGCGGCGCCCCGCCCGTATTCCCGCCCGCCCCCGTGCCGTCGTCAGTCCGCTGGCGCTTCGCTTGGCGTTGCTAAGAAAGATGGGGTCAGTAAGAGTCGTAGGTCGATATATGCGGTACAAGGGGAGATACGAGAGAGAAGGACAAATCGCGAGAGAAAGTGCGGGCGGGGGTCTGCGGCACGAGCTCCCAAGTTCGCGTGAATCCAAGAGAGGCGTCCGCCCTCCCTCCAATAAAGAGAGACAGACCCCCCAAAAACTCGCTCCAAGAAAAACCAAAACCCAAAACGCAATCAAAGACACACCTTCTCCCCCGGCCCCTCCACCGGATCCGGATCCACCGTCGGCATCGTGCTGTCCCCCGCCGCGACGCCCACGCCCGCGCGCAGGTCCGTCCCTGTGCGTTTTCGTTTTTTCGTCAGCTTCCGTTCGGGGAGACCGAATATAGGCGCCAGAAAGGCAGACAGACAGACGCACCGCCCACAAGCGCCAACGCGCCTGGATTCACCCCGCCGCCGCTGCCGCCGCCGCCGAGCCCGAGCCCGAGGCCGACGGCGGCGTTGTGCCGCGCCTTGCGCATGCGGATGTCCTTGCGGATGCGGATCTTGATGCCCTGGTCGGCGAGGGAGCAGGTGAGGGGAGAGGATTCTGTGAGAGGGGGTTAGTATCGGAACCGCGATGAGACGTCCAACGCACCCTCTACCCCCGGAAACTTCTTCGCGGTGTACACATAGAATGGCGCACTGTAGATGCTCTTGCAGTGCCGGACGTCGTTCCTGCGACGAAGAATAGTATGAGTATCACCATGTGAAAAGAATGCCGAGTAAGGAGAAGCGACAACACAACTCACCCAACGACCTCGAACAAACTCAGCTTCAACCTATAGCTCCCCTCGGTCCTCACCGACAAATCCGGAAACACGAAAAACCCCGCATCCCCCGACGGCGGCGCTATATGCACCCGTCAGCTCCTCACGCTATAAAAAAAGCAAACCACGCACCCGTCGTCGGCCCGTCCTTGTTTTTGTCTCCCGGCGCCGGGGCGGCGGTGGGATCCTTGAGCGCATACAAGCTGCTGACGACGCTGCCGGTGGTGCAGCGCGTGCGGCCGTCCTTGAGCCAGTGCAGCTCCGTGTCGTCGTCTGGCTTGGCGAGGGACGCGAACATGAAGTAGTACGGGTTCTGCAGGAAGGACTGCGCATAGGAGGCGAGGTTGGTGTACGGCTCGGCGTCGGGGTCGTCGGGGTCGGCGCTGCTGCTGCTGCTGTCGGCCGAGGCGGAGGGGTCGGCGGAGGAGGGCCCCGCAACGGAGGATGCGGAGGCGGAGGCGGAGGTGGATTGGGAGCCCGATGCGGAGGCGGGGGTGGAGTTTTGTGGGGTGGCCTGGGGGTCGATGACGCGGAGCTGGACGATCACGGGCGGGTCGATGGGGCGGCGGTCCGCTGCACATGGCGCACATTGTCAGCCCCTGCTCTAGGAGCCATGAGGACAACGCACCCTTGCCCCCGATACCACACATCCGCGCCTGCTTCGGCTCCTGGCGCACCGTCAGCTCGTATTGTCTGCGCATCTCGTCAGCGTCGAGTCAATCTCAGGTCGCAATCCCCGGGGTCGGTGCTTCAAGCAAGCTTCAAGGCAGCAGTGTGATATGGCGCCTCAGCCCAAACCCAAGCCCATGGATTCGGTTCATCACCCACCCCAAACCCAAAACACAATATAATATATGTGCAACGACTCACAGGCGATTCCGATGCTGCTGCACATACCCCACCGGCATCGTGTGCGCCGCCATCTGCGCCTCGCCGCCGCCAGCGTCGAACTCGTCCATTACGTCTTGGTCAGCGGGTGTGGAGAAAGGAAGGACGAAAAGTGGGGTTAGGGTTTGGGTGATGATCGATAAGTGCCGCCCCGGCGCGTGGGTAGTACCGTGCCCACGGACCTGGTTCCCTCCCACCCAGTGACACCCACAGAGAAGCGGCGACTTGGTCATTGGTAGGCAATCGCCGCCTCCGTGCTGGATGGACAGACGCCTGGCAGCAATTTCGCTCGCTACATTCCCCGTGGCCAACCCTCGTTGCCAACTCGCAGATGAACACTCCCCCCCCCCCCCCCGTTTCAATCCAATATGATCATGGAGTCTGGACCCAGTCCCCGGACTCGGACTCGTCGTTCCTCTGGTTCCCGGGGCTTCAATAAGTACAGAACAGAATCCCACCACACGCCGCGGCCAAGTTCCTCCCACACCTCATTCCTTTCAACCTACCCAATATGGTACCACGTCATGATCACCGCATATCGTCCGAGCTGAGCTTGTACAGCTCCCTTCCTATCTGTTCAAGTCCCTGTAGATCACGGCAGATCATCCCAGGTCAATAAGTGGTGACTCGAAAGTTGTTGGGAAGCCGGCTGTTCGACTCCGCCCGGGGACATGATGTATTGGTTCATCTCATCATCTTTTGGTAGGGTTTCATTTTAGTTGCACAGTGCAATGCACTGGGCACAAAACTAGAAGAAGCAAACACCCAACCAGCACCCAAACAGGCTTAGGCGGCTCAATCAATCCACCTACCCCAATTGCACACAGGTCCCTGTAGATCATCCCAACCTGTTGTTCTCATATGCTGTGTGCACTGTTGGGAAGCCGGTGGTTCGACTCCGCCCGGGGACATTCTGGGCATCGCTATCTTTTTCTTGTCCCTTGTCCCTTGCCCCTTGTCCCTTCATGAGCAGCTCAGGGCCCAGCTGTCCAAGTCCCTGTAGATCACGGCAGATCATCCCAGGTCAATTATAGGTGACTTCGTAGTGTTGGGACGCCGGCGGTTCGACTCCGCCCGGGGACATGATCATCATGTTCTGCACATTTTTTTTTCTGGTGCTTTTTTGTTGTCTTCTAAGTAGATCCTGGTAGGGCTTTGTCATTGATCAAGATTTGGAACCACTACAAGAATACATAAACACCTAGCTAGCATCCAAACAGGCTCAGGCAGCAAAAATCAATCCACCTACCCGGCTGCACACACATGTATTCCAAGTCCCTGTAGAGCATGGCAGATCATCCCAACTTGTTCATTTTGAATGCAAAAATCCTGGGAAGCTGGTGGTTCAACTCCACCTCCATCTGGGGACATCCATCATCATCACATTGGTCTTTTCTTGCCCCTTGTCCCCTTGCTGCCTTTTTCTTGAGCTTGGACAGCTCCCTTCCTTGTAGTTGTTCATGGCCAAGTCCCTGTAGATCAAAGCATATCATCCCAACTCAATTCGGCATAGTCACAAAGGTTGGTTGGGAGATCAGACGAAGCAAACACTCAATCAGAAAACAGACAGTCCGAGGCACCTCAAATCAACCCACTAACCATAGGTTACAGTAGATCATCTCAACCATTGTATGTAGAACAATAAGGGATCCAACCTATGATATTATTTCAGAACTGCAGACACCCCGCGCACCACCACCGACTCGGTAAAGTTCCAGATCAGGGTACTGTCGTGTGCCTGCCATGCTGCTCCCGTATACCATGTATTCCTACATCCCTGCAGCTTGTTTCTCTTCTTATAATATCCCTTGCGGATGGCGTCCACGGGAACAGTGATCTCGTACGGGGCATGGTTGTGGAAACCAGCAAATACCGTCTCGACCGACGTGTTAAGCCCATTCGCTGTGCGATACCGAGACAGTGTGTCGAGAATATCAGCCTTCACATCTGTATCGCTGATGTCCTGGTCGCTACTATAGTACAGACGGCGTAGGCCCGGCACTGCCGTCAGGTCCACTTTGAGCACCATTTGATGCGCAATCGGGATGCCGTCGGGCTTCGTAAAGTCGATGTTGTTCAGGCTGATATCATCTGGTAACCCACTGTTCTCGATGACAGCATCAAAGTACCATTTGAAACTGGTCTGGTCGAAGATATTTTCCTCCTCGGGGGACAGGTCCAGACCAATCGCCTGGAGCTCGGCAACGATCGGCGGGATTGCTATTACAAGCTGCTTCGCCCGTACAATCTGCTCACCGCCAGTCGGTGTCTTGATCACCACGGATACCCCGTCCTCGCCGCGTGTGACCTGGCTGATCGTCGCGTTCAAAAACGCGCCCTTGCCTTCATCCAATTTCCCAAGTGCTTTATCGTATATCCCTTGGTTGTTGAAATCGGCGGTGGTGATGAACCCTGGTTCGATGCCCAAAAGCCCTCCGGCGGTGAGCGAAGAGAAGTACTGTCGACTGCATCAGTGAAAAGGCTGCTGTAGTGTGACATTGAAAAAACCGGCAACTCACTTTCATTGCGTACAACGCTGGCAGTGCCATCTCATTCCCGACACCCTGGTTTATCTCGTACACATTGAAAGCGGCGGCATCGAGACCGTGTTTGGCCATAAAGTTGGCCCATGGCAGCAGAATGTCTTCGGGGACAGGATCAGGAAGGTTGAACCCATCGTTCAGGAAGGGAAATTGGGTGTTATACAGGCTGATATAGTTTTTCAGCGCAGCAGTGACCGCCGCCGAGTCAGCCCATGGAATGCTGGGGGGAATCACGGTTGTGGCCTTGGCATCCCCATTCAGGTCAGCGTAAGTCGCGGTGTCCCCGTTCAGAGGCGCAGCAATGATGTCGACGCCCAGTGCCGAGAAGTAGTTGGTAGCGATGCTGATGTTGTGGTATACAATGACGCCGTAGTCGAAAGTTGTATTGGTGTCGGGTACGTGGAACGTGTTGACGTGTCCACCGAGCCGATTGTTTTTCTCCAGCACCGCGACACTGAAACCTTCTTGCTGCAGTCGGAATGCCGCGTAGGTGCCAGCCGAACCGCCACCGATGACGACGACGTCGCGATAGATGTGGTTGTCGCTGCGATTCCCCGCCAGAACGGCTGTCGCACACAGGAAGAAAGAGAGGTACTGCTTGGTGGTCAGAGGCATTGCTCCCAGATGAGGTGAAAGTGGATTTCGGTCCTCACTTCTTTTCTAGTCCGCTGACCATGACATTCTGGACCAAAAGTCACTTAGTCAGGATTATATATAGCACTCGCTTTATCATGCCGTTTTATCCCAGGTCACGAGATGGGGGGAAGACCACAAAGTTCTGGCAAGGAGCAAACCAGTAAACGGAGTACCCAGGATATCAAATTGAACCCGCTGGAGGAGTTCGAAGTGCAAACGGGATATAGATTAGAATGTGTGGGTAGCGGGCAAGGTGAAACACATGAAAGACGACTGAGGTTGCGTGCCTGTAGCGCCGGGACTGCCCGTTAAGACCGTGAAAGTCGTTAATTTAGTGTCGGCTCGGTAACCGACAAGACCACCGTCAGACTCGGATTGGATTCTGTTGGCTGGTTTTCAGTCAGGGTCTTGGGCAATTGAGCGGTAATCTTCGGGACCCGTGGTATTCGAGCCCCACAGGTCTGTAAATCGTGTGAGGTATTCCTACTAGGAGGACTTCTCTGACAGCTGTGGAGACCGAAGTTCGATCCCGAAGTTATCGTAGAGAGTTGTATCCAAGTCAACTGATAACTGCCTCCGCACAACATAGCAGAAATGGTCAATTGCTGGATATAAGGGCCATGGTTGGGTTGAAGGCATGCCAATGCATCAGGATTGAGTGTGTCGTATTTCCATTCCCCGACACCATCCTCCACATCTAGGTGCATAGTTAGCCGTTTATTACCATGGCACCCCATCCGTTTCGACATCCCATGGATTACCATGCGCGACTTTGAAATTCCAGAACTTCCCGCTACTCTTCTTCTTCGTTGCGCCATCGATGCGGGTTAAAATCTCGGCCACGGAGTCTTCGAGACTCACTAGCGCCTCCGAGCGCCCCATCCCGTTCGATAAGGTGCCCTTGTTGCCCATGTCCGTAGACACCCACCCCGACTGAATCGCCGACGCGAAGAGCATGGGGTGCTCGACGTCGAGCGTCTTGACGAGGTAGTTCGCCGCGGCCCCGGACATTCCATATGGTGTGGCAGAAATGTAGCCGAAGCGTCCCATGGAGCCGACTGCGCTGGAGATTACGGCGAAAACGGGGGCGCCGGTGGGGGACACAAGAAGCAGTTTGTAGGCAGCTTGGAAGAGAATCACCGGGCCAAGGGTATTCACTTCGAAGTGCTCGCGAAAGGCGGGAAGCGGAGTGGTTACGAGCGGGCTGAAATGGTTGTTGATACCTAGATCAAGTATTATGGATTATTATCATCGCAGTATTCAAGTCAGCTCACCAGCGTTTGCAATAATGACGTCGAGCTGGCCCGCGATCTTTTTAATGTGGGCGATGGCTGCCGCGTTATCGGCTGTGTTGCCGTAGAGCCTCCGAGTTGAGTTGGATGGGGTGAACGTTGGGGCGTTTGGCTGCCAGATCCATCAGAGATTGAGCGGCAGCATCCCGGGCACCCGCGAAGACGATAACGTTGGGGCGCGCAGCGAGGGTTGAGGCTAGGCCGTACGGTTTGCTCCGGAAACTACGACGATGAGCTTGTGCTTGCGCAGAGGATATATCCTCACTGAGATAGACAGTTTTGCTCGACATGGCCTTTCAAGGCCTGCAAAGATCGCTTCATTCGACGTACTCGGTACGTCCGCCAAAGAAAGATTCTCCCTCAAGATACAATCGTGTATTTGGGTCAGCAGACCTCGCTGATTTATTTTTATTGAGTTTCAACAGTAAAGCGGAGAACCAGCTAGAAACCGAACAGAGAAGCACCCCCTCCGCGACATAGGCTTACAGCACGAACAATCATGTAAAATGATCCGTCGATTTTAAACCGGCGGTGCCGTGCGATTCGGCCAGTTTGGCGTCGGTGAGAATGGCTACGGATTCCATCCAGCCCAAGGTGATGCTGCCGCCTTGTGGACCCAGTTTTCCTGATACTTCCGACCTCGCTTCGATTTCGGGGCAAAGGAGCCGCGGAGAAAGAGCACTTGAAGAGAACTTGAAGAGCACTTGAAATGCTGATTTATGGCAACTGAAGAAGAAATCACTGGTATCACGGCTTCGGTCGCTGCTTCAGGCCTCTCTGGGGACGATGGGCGCAACTGGTGAAGTTATCACCGAAACGCCGAGTGCGTGGGGCAGAGCAAGGCCCAAACGCTTACCTAAGGCCACGTGTACCCGGCGCAAAATCTTCTTGCTGTCGATGCCCATGATGCTCGCCACTTGCTGGCTTGTCCAGCGCATCCTTCCGTGAAATCAAAGCTCCTGGGCTCCTCCGCTGAGGTACATGTTCTATATAATTTTTAGGTGCCCATGCTCACCTAACTTGTAGCCATGTCGGACTGCCCTATACTTGTGTGGATGTTGTCGCTGAATCGCGAGTACACAAAGGAGGTGCGTGGGTCGGGCATGTCTTTCTTTTTGAGAACTTAACTCCTCTGAAGGAATACAATGCGTGCTACAAAGTTGTCGAGGACTGCGTACCACACATAAAGATCCCTCACGACCCTCCGAATCCAGACAGTTTTCGTGCGTATGCCCCCACGCAACTGAGCCACCACTGATCCTTCGTAGGCCAGATAATGACCCAAATGCTCCCGCTCCTCATGATGCGGCACCGACGAATACCACGGGCAAAGTGGCGCGACTGCGCCACTCCGAACGGGAAGCACTGGATCGAGCAGGTCCGTGGGCGACGGGTTCGGAAGCGTTAAAGGCTGACTTGGCCGCAGGCGCCCGATGACATGCCGCCTGAAAAATACTTACACTCGATGATAGGGTACCATCTCACATACGAGACGTCCTTATGCGGCATGGCGATGGCCCAGGGCATCCAGCGCAAGGTCATTAATATCGGCCTCGGCATTAAGCACGTCGCCGTTGAGCCCCGCGGCACCGCTCTGGCGACGTATGTCGCA